TTAAAAAATTATATACAAAATAAAAATAAATATATATATAAAATATGTTAAAAATATATTTTCAAAATAAAAAAAAATAAAATAAAATAAAAATAATACATATAAACTAAAAATCATCGCATTTTTATTTTCACAATAAAGTAAGAAGCAAAATTTGAAGCTTAAAAATAATCCCAAAAATTCAATAAATTGATGAATTTTCAATAAATAATCAATTATCACTAATAGTAAAATTATACAGTTCGTCATATACATCTGCTCATTCCATTCTCAACTTCTCTTTCTCCCTCTTCCTCTCTCTTTTTTTCTCTTTTTCTCTACAAAACCCAAACATACACCTGCCTCACTTTTTATCGCAAGGCAAGTGCAATTAACTACAACTACAAGTGAGATCGTGATATCGAATGGCGTGTCGTTCGGACCTGTCGAGACTGGGATCCGCGTCGTTGAGGAACACCCGTGTGAGCTTCTTATAATGGGCCCGTTCGAGATGCTGCGACACAGCAGGACTATAAGGCCGCCAACGTCCGTGACGATTCTCCCACTCCCAAACGACCACCGCGTGTCCGTGCTCCTGCCCCTGGGCGCTCATCCTCTTGCCTGTCGCTCTCCGCAACCCCCGGACCACGCTCTTTGCTTCGTATCCTCCCAGAGGAATTTCACACGCACACGCGACATACACTTGCAGCGTAACGGCAGCGTGGGAACATTTTCGAGTTTTCCCACGGTCACCACGACGGTCGCCTGATCGTCGAAAATCAGACTAATTAACAGCCAATTTGATTTACTTTTTGTCTTTTTCCCGGCACTCAATTAGAAATACTTGCTGTCTTCTACCCCGTTCTGTAATCGCGAAACGAAAATACGACGTGGAAATCCGGGATTCTTTAGAAGTACAGAAGAAAACAAATACACATGCACCAATGCGCACTCTGGTGCAAACTGAGGGTCGGCGCACGCGAAAGATGCCGTTGTGAAGCGCGGCAGATGAGCGAATTCGATAGGTCGACGCGCAGGATATCGAAACGACTTCGAGACAGCTCGCAAACTTCGAGCGATCGAGCTTCTAAGGAAGATTACGATTTTAGGCCGATCTTGGCCAAACTCCGATTGCTAATTGATTTATATGTCCATTTTTATCAATTGAATTAATTTTCTTAATTTATTTAATCTTTATATTTTTTAGTTATAAAAATTTAAAAAAGATAAAGCGTGTAAATTGATAAATTTTTATGCATTGATAGAAATAGATGTTTTCATTTCTTCTTCTTGTTCTATTAGAAAAAAATAAAGAATAAATTAAAAACAAAAATTTCCAAATTGATCTATATTTGTAGAAATTACTGACAGAAATGTTTTAATTTTTTGTTAACCAATAAAAAATTAATAATTCTATCCATGTTAATAAAATTGTATTTCATAAATTAATTACTGATTAAATTAATCGACGTTTCAACCGATAGAATTGCTTAAAGCAGAATTTCTAATTTTGTAATTCAATTTTTTTCCCTTAGGTTAAACAAAAAATAAATAAATCTATTTATGTTATATAAATTATCGATAACTGCTCTTCATTTTTTTTTGGAGTGATTCATTCAAATTATATAAACAAATTATATATAAATACAAAAAGAAGTTGTAGAACCTACTTCGTAAATTATGGAGGGAAAAAATTCATCGAAATGTTAAGGAAAATTACTTCATCTTTAATTTATCTTTAATCTGATATGCTTCGGGAGCTCTGAATC